AACGTGCACAGGCTTTTGTGATGTTTCTTATCTAACGCTTCATCACTAAGCTTTAGAATTGGAGTAAAAAAACAACTGGAATTCATGAGAAAAAAATCTTGTATCAAAGTAATTTCCGTCGATAAAAGCGCGAGATAATTTTAATGAAAGCTCTCCCGGAGGATTAGTAGGTCTCGCTCGCTCGACGCTCCGCTCTGTTGCCGGTCTGCATATTTTTATGCTCTGCTCATTTCAGATAATAAATAATATTAAAATAATAAAAGCATTTCAATGTATTAATATTAATATCGAAGACACGTAAGACTAGATACAGAGAATAGGGCATAAATAAATTTGCCTTGCCATACGAACTATACATATAAACTACGTGGAGCTGATTAATTTCCGGCGTGTTAGCGAAAGTAAATATATGTTCTGAATTATCCCGGTGAATTCAGTAGTTGAATTATCTCTCTGTTATACCAAAATTAGTGCCATCTATTGACCTAAAGAGCGTATTCGCATGCTATTGTGACAAGTGAATAACCATTTTTAAAATTTTTGTTTGTCCTTCTGTCTATCCGCGCTTATCTTCGAAATCACTGAACCAATTTTATTAAACCTTCACGAACAGATAGAGAGCCATTGCCAGGTGTGATCTAGGCTATACATTGGTAGGAAAAGGGGAGATCTCCCGCCGGGCAAGGTGTTCTGCCAGGGGGAGCGGCCAACACTCCATGTGATAGTTCGGAGATGTTCTATATATGCTGTTTATGATTCGGAATGTTGATAGCGTGATTTAGGCTTCGGTGTATTTTCGCTTGAGGCGCGACGACAGCGCCGCCACATCACTCCCCTGCTCAGACCGGAGGTCGATAGTGCAGTCCGATTGCCGGTGTGTCCTTTTAATGCCGGTGGGGAATGCATGCTGTGTGCGTAAGGGCAAGTGACACCGGTGCGAATGATATGCCGATGTGTAATGCATGCCGTACTTACGCACTGGCAAGTGATGCCGGTGAGAACGATGTGCCGGAGCAAGTGCTAGAAGTCTGCCTTATAAATCTGCGGTGAGTCGAGATGAAGACAAGTTGGAATAGCTTGCAGAAACTGAAGACTGCAGAAGACGATTCTCAGTAGTGAATGGTAGGGGTTCTTGAGGATAATGACGAAGGCTTGAAATTGTAGTTTCCGAAGGTGTTTGGTTGCGTGTTCAGATCATGTCGGGGTCACCACTGTGGCCATGGAAGGAAAAGGGGAGATCTCCCGCCGGGCAAGGTGTTCTGCCCGGGGAGCGGCCAACACTCCATGTGATAGTTCGGAGATGTTCTATATATGCTGTTTATGATTCGGAATGTTGATAGCGTGATTTAGGCTTCGGTGTGTTTTCGCTTGCGGCGCGACGACAGCGCCGCCAAACATTTAAAAGATTTTTTCGAAACTAGATGTTTTATTAAAAATAAAAAAAAATTCTTGCTGGTACTTTCCAGAATAGATTTTTTTCAGAACCAGTGGTACGAGCCTATAAAACTTTCAATACGTATTTTTGTGTTCTTTATTGAAAATAAGTTCTATTCTATTTAATTCTATTCGTTAGTCACGTTCGGTAATGTCACTAATAAAGAACCTTTCAGAATTCTGGTCGTGAACTCGCTGTCGGTCCGGTCATAGCACGCTACGATGTTGATCGATGACAGAACTATCTAGTGGGTAGTTTTGCATACTATTTTGTACAAAGAATATTTATGTATACGCATAATCATTTACGGTCTTGCTTTAAACGTAGTAGAGTTTGCATGCTGATAAACATGATGATTTAAAAGAAAAATATGATAACGTACTCTCGTTTTCCATTTTAACATTTTACTGTAATTAGATGATTCGGAAGACTTAAGTATGTCGTAGTTTCACGGCGACATTCAATTCGACATTCGACCGCTCTTCTAATGTAATAAAATTTATGCAAAATCACAAATTATTGACGAATTAACACCTGCCTGAATTTGGTTCATCACCTTGTCTCTGAGGTCGAAGCAAATAACATAAGCAATACATCAGATATCGTTAACTTTAGGATGACGTAGATATTCATGGACTGATAAGGGTTAAAAAAAAGTAAAATTGTATTAAACTATTTATACGGATTTTATCGCGTTTAATTAACTTACTTTTATTTTTTTTTCAATTTTATAATTCAACCTTTCGTCACGGGGGGGGGGGGGCAATGTTTGACGTCCCAATGTCATAGTTATCCCGGCTACCTTCATTTTATGAATATAAACTTTTGGTCAGATGTACGCAGTACGAGCTTACAGTATCTTGAATTCTTGCAATGGTATGCTTGGCTTTGGATTTAATTTTGTTAATTATAGGACATATATTATACACACATACACACTCACACACACACACACACACACACACACACACACACACACACACACACACACACACACACACACACACACACATTCTTCTGGGTTTTTATAGATCTTTTTGTTTGTCCTATGTGAGAGAGAGACCACAAGGCTGCGTGCTATACCAACGGTGTTTCTTCTGCATATCAATGATATGTTGCCAACTGGTAACAAGCATGGTGAAAATTGACTAATCTTCTTCGGAGGCTTGTAGTATGTTTTAATGGAAGCTCGCTTCAAGATGTAAACAACTTTGTCTAGTCTCAGACATACCTTACACATACAGTGATATAGCATGCGGACGCTTGACTTTGGCCCGCTTCACTCAGTTACTGTGACGTAGGCGCGGGACCTGAAACTGGCATGACATGCTGAAGCTCGGCGGCCACATGTCTTCTGTCACAGATCCCCTCTGTGCTCTCTGAAATAAAGATTTACCCGCGGTAGCTAACTGAGAAGGACGATGGTGAGATTCACGTTTTAAATATCAGTCAGTATGGGTCTTTATTCTATACTCAGTGTGACCAATAGTGTTATCAGAATTTCGGATGACCAATATATCCAGGATAGATAAAGAATTATTTGCTTGCAACTACATTGTAACTTGTATTTTAGAATTTATGAAGTGAAGATAGTCTAAAGACGCAGATCTCACATGGTAAAATTGTGAAAGTATGGTCTACGTACCGGTTCTAGTATCTTGGATTTACAAGAGCAATAAGAAGAGCTTTCTGTTCAAATTGCTCCATTAATACGTTGGCGATTGTGGGAGATACAAGTGAGCTCATCACCATAATATCCACATGCTTGTAGAACTCCTCGTTCCACAACAGATAGCCAGATGTGAGGAAGTGTTCAAGTAATATTGCATATTCTTCAGGTATGTTGTTTTCTTCTAGCTTCCTGATTACAATTAAGATGCAGTCATCAGTAGATAAGCATGTAAATAGTGACTGAACGTGAAAACTGACCATAGTTTCATTGTCAATGAGGTATCGGTCTTTTATCGCACTAAAAGAATGTTATGGATTCGTAAACTTTATCTTTTGCCGAGTATTGAAATAATTAAGATCAGTCATGTCTAGTACTCTATTATATAAAATTTACATAGCCTTAGCACGATCTATAATTTTCTATAGCATTCCAATACAGGGAAGAGCCACCAAGAAATATTTTTATAAAAAAATAAAAGAGTAGAAGCACAGAGATTTCTTATAAAGGTCACGTATTTCAAACCTTATAAATTCTCAATTAATTTCTCACAGCTAGGAAGCTTTATGTTCCATTAAAAAAAACAGAATAACTGATATTGTGGCCAAACCTCATGTACGTACTGTCTTTGTTAGTAAGCAGTACATATGTCAATGCGCTTTTATTTATTATAAATTAATTAAATATTTAAAATATATCCTATGCAATTAAATATGCGCAAAAAAAAACTTTAACGAATTGGTCGAGTACATATATAGCGGGTCATTCCCAACACGAGTATCCCCGATTACTCACTGGGAAGTCTCAGCAATATCTTGTTAATAAACGCATTATTTATTAATTTATTTAATACCGACAGCAGTTTAAATGTAAAGTCTCGTTTCCAGTTAAATGGGTCTCCGGTCCTCTACACTCACCATACGAAACACAGCAGCATTAAGCTGCTATTTTACGCTGGTATTCTATGAGAGCGTAGTCCTTCTCCGGTCGAGCCGACCTATTCGTGCTACAACCATAATATAGCTGCGGCATGACTCTACCACTTAAGTTTAGTTTGTGAAAATGTTACGAAATCCTGCATGAGATTTGCTCCTCGTTAGATGAACCCAAAATGAAAAACGGGTTAGCTGTGATTCCTTCATCATACACGCAAATTCACTTATCCCGTTTTTCTCAGCATGTATGTATCCAAATGACAGCCGCGTTATACCGATCTATTACATTTCAAAAAGGTTATTTATCAAATACTTACTTTTGCCCCCAAATCTTTTTGTATAAATATTTAATAAACGATTCAATATTCACTTTAGGCAATACTTACAAAAAGAAGCCTAATATAACTGTTATGTATTTTTATATCCTAGCTCACACCCTTTGGCAATTGAACATGAAGGATTTTATATTGGCGGATCCGCGGGCAGAAGTTAATAGTCAATAAAATATCATTTAAAAATATAATAAATCAATATAATGCGCTTGTCATATAAGTGTACTCGAGATAACGTACGAGAAAGGAAAAGCAGATTAACACTACACGAGGTGCTGGAGCACCCCATAAGATTTTTTTTTTTTTTTTGTAAATGTATATTCCACTGATTTCACCTCCCGTGTATTTTAGTCTATGGTCACGTTGTACAGATCTGTCAGTGTCGCGACGACAGCGGAGTAGTGTGAACGCGTCCATGAGTTAGTGCTGTAGGACCCCAGTGAACGAACAATGTAAGTGAAGTGATTTATTCCAACTATTAGTTTAAGTCATATCTTGCTTACTTTGATGAACGTAGCGGCTGTCATTTGTATATTTATTACTAAGATTATAATGTTACCTTAAATTAATGAGATATTTATAAGTTTATTTCAACAAAATATTACATTTTTTTGTTTTATTATTTGCAGATGGCTGTAACCAGAGGACTGAATGATGATGAAATACGTTTGTGTGTAAACCTTGAATCAAGCGATGAGAAAGAAGTTGCTTTACCGGAGTCAGTCACAGAACTAGCTGAGGATGAACCGGATGGTTTGATACAAGATTTTCATGCAGTAGGTTACGCAGGGAATTCTATTAGCGATGATTATCTGACCTCACAAGAAATATCTCAGAATTTGAGGAGACAAGGGAAAACTAAGGGTTTTAAGTGCACCAAGAGAACCTTACGGGAAGGAAAAATAACAGGTACAAATGGAGTGGAGAAAAACTTGTTAGACGTCGGATTCTAGAACATAACATCATTATGCATCTACCAAGTAACAAAGGTGCAACCAAATCTATTACTCAACCAATAGAAGCTTGGTCACTTTTATTGAATGACGAACAGCTCGATAAAATTGTCCATCATACAAACGCGGAAATTGAACGACAGCGTAAGAACTACAAAGGCTACCAACTCAACGAAGATGGCGAAGAGGGTAACGCATCATCGTCAACTTCATTGCCATCATTTGTAAAACAATTGACAATAACAGAATTAAAGGCCCTTACTGGACTTTCTTACTTGGCAGGAGTTTTCAAAATGAACATGAATACCAAAGAAAATTTCGACATATATAGTGGAGTGTCGCTTTTAGGGCCACAATGTCGCACTGTCGATTCGAATTCTTGGTAAACTGCTTGAGGTTCTATGAAAAAGGCACTCGTGAAGAACGTCGCAAGAATGATCATCATCATTCATCATCATCATCATTACAGCCCTTCACAAGTCCACTGCTGAACATAGGCCTCCCCCAAGTAATGCCACAAAGCACGGTCCTGAGCCACCTGCATCCAACGAATTCCTGCATGTCTTACCAGGTCGTCACTCCATCTAGAGAGGGGGGTCGCACTACACTACGCCTACCGGTACGAGGCTGCCACTCGAGAATCTTTCTTCCCTATCGGTTATCGGTTCTTCGAGCTATATCGCCGGCCCATTGCCACTTCAGCTTACTAATCCGTTGGGCTATGTCGGTAACTCTGGTTTTACTACGGATATCCACATTTCTGAGTCTATCACGCAGAGAAACTCCGAGCATAGCCCCTCTCCATAGCTCGCTGAGCGACCTCGAGCGTCCTCATACGGCCAGCAGTGAAGGACCACGTCTCTGATCCGTAAGTCATCACTGGCAACACGCACCGGTTGTACACTTTAGTTTTCAGAGATTGAGGTACACCTGACGAGAAGATGTGTCGTAATTTCCCGAACGCTGCCCAGCCGAGTTGAATCCGTCGATTGACCTCTCGGTCGAAGTTGGACTTACCTAGTCGGACTATTTGTCCCAGGTACACGTACTCGTCAACAACTTCGAGCATAGTGCTCCCAACAACTACCGGCATATGTGAGACATGGACATTAAACATGATCTTTGTTTTGTCCATGTTCATATTAAGACCTATCCGTTGGGAGACACCATTGAGGCCATTGATCATAGTGCTAAGGTCCTCCAGCGATTCTGCCATAAGAACTATATCGTCGGCAAATCGAAGGTGAGTGATGTACTCGCCATTGATGTTAATACCGTATCCTTTCCAGTACAGTAGCTTGAAAACGTCTTCCAATGCAGCGGTGAAGAGTTTCGGTGATATAACATCACCCTGTCTTAAACCTCTCTACAGTTGGATAGGTTTCGAGATCTGATTCTGTACTTGGATAGCCATCGTAGCCCTACTGTACAAACACTTCAGCACTTCGATATACCGACAGTCAACTTGGCACCGCTGAAGGGACTGTAGCACCACCCAAATTTCGACGGAATCAAAGGCTTTCTCATAGTCCACATACGCCAGGCAAAGTGGTTGAAGAATGATTGTTTAGCTTCAATTCGTGAGCTTTTCGACCACGTCATAAAAATGAGCCGTGGTAGCTCAGGTGGTTAACGCTCGCTGTAAATATTAACACAACGCGAGTAACCCAGGTTCGATCCCCGCCGGCACCAATGAAATTGTTAATTGCAATTTTAAGTGCTGATTTACCACGTGCTCGGCGGTGAAGGAAAACATCGTGAGGAAACCTGCATGTCTGAGGAATAAGAAAAAAAAATATTTTGAAGATATGCGAGGTTCGCCAACACGCATTGGGGCAGCGTGGTGGACACTTCATTGCCCTAAAACCCTCTCAGAAATGAGGGGAGGCCTATGCCCAGCAGTGGGACGTATATAGGCTGTAACTGTACATAAAAATGTGCGAAGAATATTACTCACCTACTGATTGTGTCACTGTTGATGAACAACTATTGGGCTTTCAGGAGCGATGTAATTTTAAAATGTACATACCGTCTAAGCCTGATAAATATGGCATAAAACTGTTGTTGATTTGCGATACTAAAACTTGTTACATGTTGAAAGCGATTGTTTATGTAGGACAAACATCACCACCTCCAAATGTGTCCGTGTCTGAATACTACGTCATGGAACTCTCAAAATCTTTAGTTGGATCACGCCGCAACATCACTATGGACAAGTGGTTCACCAGTATACCATTAGCCAAGCACCTAATAGACAAAGATTTAACCGTGGTTTGGACAATCCGTAAAAACAAAGGTGAGATACCTGAATCATTTTTGGAGCAGAGAGACAGAGAGAAAATAACACGGCTATTTTTGCACATGATGGACCACTCAAAGAGTGAGTGTCATATTGCCCACCAAAATCAACTAAGAAGAAAGTTGAGATGATGTTGTCTATATTCACCTCCGGACAAAAACAATGAAGTGGAGCTTCCAGAAATTATTGATTTTTATAATAAAACAAAGGGAGGTGTCGACGTTTTTAATGCAATGGCCAAAAAATACTTCGTCCTAAGAAAAATTAAACGCTAGCCCATGTGCATTTTTATGGGTTATTAAATGCCATGGGTATTAACTCCTGGGTTCTATACACATGTTGAAAAGCTTTTGGTAAGCTAGCAATAAATTTTCGACGCAAATTTTTGAAGGAATTAGGACTCAATCTCATACAAGAGCATCTGGAACAACGCCTACAAAGCCCTAATTTGAGGAGGGATATAAAACAAAGTATTGCAGCAACCCTGAAAAAACCCATTCTAGTCGATCCTCCTGTACCTGAACGTCACTCACAGGGACGTTGTGGTTTCTGCCCAAGAAATAAGGATCGCAAAAGTAAAACTAGGTGCGTCAAGTGTAAAATTCCGATTTGCTTGGAGCATCAGTTAAAAGTGTGCCAAAAGTGCTCAAATTGATATTTTAATTGTAAATGTAACGTCTATTTCTAATCTCATTACCATAATGAATAAAAATAAAGGAACGTTGATTTAAATTTGTCTTAATTTCGTTCAAATATAGACAATTGAGTTTGGGGTGCTGGAGAACCCCTATGTAGGGATAAGAATAACGCCAGTAACTGTAGGGTTCTAGGGTTAATGGAGGCTTATGAGGAACGTGTTACAGCCGTCACGTTTCTTATTTCGTGCTCGTCCAGCGAAGTAATAACCAATTCTTGTCAGCTTCTTTGTTGACAATGTGTGTGGTATTGTTTAAGTGCAATTTTCTATTTACGTTAACATAAAAATAATAACAAATACAGTTCATGTATAAAATATAAATTTTTCCATATTTCCATTAATATTTTTATACATATTTCCATTAACAGAGTTTACCAAAAATGTAAAAGGAAACTCGTTTGTGTTTGTTGTTTAAATACTTTTAACCTCCTGCATAAAAATAAGAATTAAACAATTAATATTTAACAATTTACGCATTCGCTTCATAATCTTCATCTTTAAGAATCCAATTTGCATTTAGCTGGAATTGAAAATGGTTTTCTTTACAAGTTTTTTTACACAACATGGTATCAAATTAAATTTAACCAGAACCACACTCACTAAGCGTTACAGATGCTAGCACGAGATAAAAGAATTCATAATTATTTCATATCTGAACTATCTACGTCTGTTCCATAAAGCATTATGGGATGAAAAACTCTAACCAAAATTAAAAGGGTAAATACGTATTTCATCATCATAATTATCATTATAGCCTACCAAAAGCCGGTCATTGAAGCTATACTCATGCATACATTGCCTCATAGCAGTACATTTATCACAGTCGCCACGCTTGGGAGGCGGTTTGGTAACCGAAATTTTTTAATTATTTCAGTTGTTATCAGGAATCTGTTGTTGCGCATCTCCCGTTCCATTCCTCTGTCGCCTTTTGCGACACCGACGGTATACTGGACCTATAAGTTGTGAATGTTTAAATTTTACGCTTCTACTTCACGGCGACAATTTTTAGTCAGTTTGCTCACGTAAGAGAAACCACTACTCTCTTACGCTGCCACTATACTACAAATTTCCTCATTCCACATATTATTGTACTTTTCAAAATACATATTAAACATACACATATGTATATGTGTATATATATGCGATATACACAATATATATATATATATATATATATATATATTTATATATATATATATTCGTAATTTTTTACTCACTTTATGTACAGATACATTTATTTAATTTATTTATTGCATTTATTTTCTTAAGAAAGGACTACGTTACGGTTAGATTTACTTATGGAAAATTAAACCAGATCGTCCACCTGCACTTCACGGGCTCCTGCAATCAATCACTTCAAACAAAGAAAGCTACAGAAGCGGTTTTACCTATCAGTGACTGATAACTTGATGTGGGGATTGTTGTCAACTAGCAAATTTAATGCCGCTCATTTTCTGGTAAACTAATTTTAAATACATGTTATCAAAAACTTCTAGATACTTGGAAAGTGTTTATGAGACATATGTTTAAAAATCATAATATATTACATGCATGCACAAACATAACACAATAATTTGTTTGTATGCCATAAATAGAATTAAGGCCCCAACTTCAAAATGTGTGACTCCAAAGAAATAAAATACATTCACTTTCAAATGTGAATGTGAAATATATTTTATTCCATTTGATTCATTCGATGTCGGTTTTGAATATTTATTAAATGTCATTTTTACCCTTTTATATGGATTTGAGAATATCACAATCTCAAAGATGTCTTAATAGTAATCATCATACTACAATTTTTTTTAAATAAGGTTAAGGTGTTACCAGTTTTTTACTTAGCTACATATAGTCCCAATCTGTAGCTGTTTATCTAACTGTCATCAATTTAGAGACAGTCGGTTTCAATGAAAAGAGGATTTAATTTTAGCTTTTAATATAATTTCCAAACTTCTTATCTCCCTTAGCTTTGTTTAACATAAAAGTTGTTCGGCCACACATGGAATACTGTTCCCATCTCTGGGCTGGGGCTCCCCAGTACCAGCTCCTTCCACTTGACCACATCCAGTGCAGAGCGGCTCGAATCATCCACGACCGAGTGCTTTCCAATCGGCTCGATTCACTGGCGCTGCGAAAAGGTGTTGCATCTCTTTGCATTTTCTTTCGCATTTATCACGGGGAGTGCTCTGGGGAATAGTTCGGATGAATCCCAGCCGCCAAATTTCGTGAACGCACTACGCGGCAAGCGTATCGATATCATCCACACCATCTGGATGCTTGGCGGTCCACCACTGTACGCTTCACAAGGAGTTTTATTCCGCGTTCGACCTCTCTGTGGAATAATTTACCACCGGCGATTTTTCCGGACTGATACGACCTGGGGACCTTCAAGAAAAGAGTTTACTCCTTTCTAAAGGGCCGGCAACGCACGTGCAATTTCCCTGGTGTTGCGGTTGATCATGGGCGGCGGTAGTCACTCAACATCAGGCGAGCCGTATGCTCGTTTGCCCCCTCTTCTGTAAAAACAAGGTAACAAAATAATGTTAAAATGTAAGGTACGTAATATCAAGATTTTGAAATTACATACCTTACATTTTAAATTTGAATTTAAAGATTTTGAAAATGTAAGTACGATATTCTGTGGCTAAAATTTAATTTTCTAAAATAATCAATACTTTTTACATAGCTCAATGTCAAAGGTCAGTTGGCTTGGCCAGTAACTTTGCTATTTTCGCGAGTCCTGAGTTCAATTCTAGCTGGAGCCTACATTTGAGCAAAATCGTAAGTTGTTCGGTTTTAGATTCTGCGTGAATTGTAAATATCCTAGTGTCTATTTCTAGTACACTGCTCATCACAATATGTCAACTGTGAGTTGCTAAGAACGTGCGAGTGAATGTATTAATGCGTCCACGTGTGGCACTATACTATCTGATCGGTTGACAAAAGTTTAATTACGTGTGGCTGTAGTCGATGTCAGTCTAGTTAATTTCATCACTATAATAATAATAATAATATTCCACAACTATCACACAACGCCATCAAGCTAAGCAGAGCTTGTGTTATGGGTACTAGACAACTGATAAACATACTTATATAATTTCTAAATACATAAATATTATATATAAATTACACCTATATAAATATCTACATATTATGATATGCTTGAAATAAACATTATGTAGATTTTTATCACATTTTGCAATCGATATTAGTTTCTGGAAGGAGTTCTTAGAGATGGCTGTGTTTGTTTCTGAAGAAAGTAATAGACGTCTTTGAGAGCTACGATTGCTTTTGAACGATTGATTCTGAACGATCACTTATTTGAGATAGAACTTTACTACTTTGACAATGTTCTTGGAACAAGTTGATCCGACGAATAGTTGTATTAAGGCAATGAAATGAGTTTACTGAGTGCGTAGCATTATTAGACAAAACAAGAACTTTGAAGATCGTAGCTTCTGGACGTAGCTATTACTGTTCATATAAGAACGTCACACATTTTATTCACACATCATAGATTTAGCTGCGTACACCTGTATCACGAGAGCCATATATGTTAAAACGGAATTAGTGCACGGTAGACTTTAAAAAGCTTTCCCTTACTTTAAATATCTTCCTCATTTAATTATATATATATATATATATATATATATATATATATATATATATATATATATATATATATATATATATATATATATATAAGCACTCGTATAATTTAATAATATTAATATTTCTTTGTCTTTTAATGACTCTGTCGTGTTTAGTGATGTATTACCCTCTACTCAATTTTATCCCACGGGTCTCATAAGAAGCGACTATGAGAAAGACCGTAAAGATCTCAACCTCCATTGATAACACAAGATCCGCATCCGCCTGATGATAAATAGATGCTGTGATCCATAGACATCTTCATCTATGTACCTTTGATCTCTTACGCTCTTCAGAATCATTTATGTGTATTAGGACAATGAAAGTAAATTGAAAATACATTCTCACTTTTTTCGCAATCGTAATGCCTATATGCGGGACTTATTACGGCATTTCGTGTGCACTTTACTTATAATTCGGATTTATTTGGCATTTATTGCGAGATTTTAGGTGGAATTTACTACATAAACTAATCCATCAGTCGGCAGAGTACGCCAAATTTTCACAAGGTAGTGTAAAGAAAATTCGCATATTTTCCTTCAGTAAAACGTCACATAACTTATAAATTTAAACATGTAGACAATATTTTCATTAATATCACCATTACCGTTTACTTATACTTGAACTCGAAACTTTATTATATTACTGTTGATTTTAGCACAAAAAAGACGTAAGATTATATTATTCACAAAATAATATGTATACATACTAGTTATAGCTGTTACTTACAAAATTATATTTTTAATAAAAATTGAGCAACATCAGCCCGTTGTAAATTTATTAACTACATATTATTGTGAGTGACTTTAATTACGTATACGGACAAATGAAATCTTAGTGTAAGGAAATAGATAATATGCTGAAGGAAATACATCCGTTCTAAACTACGTAACTACGTACGTACGTAATTTAGTTCGAAAACATTAGTAGCAATATTTTATTATTACAAAAATAAAGTCAACATTAGTTCAAATTATATATTAAATAAACTATAAATATGTTAATAATCTAGATTTTTTTTATTCCAAGCTCATTAAGGAATGTTCTTGTACGTTTATAAAAAATTATATAAAAGTACATGGACTGGAACACACAGTTGTGTTTTACAATCAGGTGTTCTTGTATTGTAGTCATTATTTATTTTGCCTTTGAAACTAGTTTTGTATTTACTTAAGCGAAAATAATAATAGTTCCAACAGTTACGGGGACTTATTTCCATTGAGTCGCCACCTGCTTT